AGAGAGAGAGAGAGAGAGAGAGAGAGAGAGAGAGAGAGAGAGAGAGAGAGAGAGAGAGAGAGAGAGAAGGGGTGTGGTGGGGAATGAATATGAGGGATGAGAAGATGATGGGGCTGATGGTTTTCTCGTTTGTAACAGATTTTAAAAGAAGACGACAACAACTGGCCAGAGCCTGACCGGGTTGGGCGCCAGGAGCTCGAGATCGTGATGGGCAACGAGCATATCTCTTTCACCACCTCAAAAATTGGGTCCCTTCTTGATGTCCAGAGCAGCAAAGACCCTGAGGGTCTCCGCATTTTCTACTACCTTGTCCAGGTATGTCGTCTGACTAAGATAAGACCCATCCTCCTCCTCGTCGTGTTCCAAAATGCCATAGCCTGCGATTGATCAGCGAGCAAACAGGCCTTAAAAACCACCAGTAGTACACGCCATACATTGGCCGCGTGCTGCTTTCAAAGGCCTTAACGCGACAAAAAGGGCCGCCGATTGAATTTATCAACGGCGGCCCCGGCCCGACTTTTTCGGATGGGTGGGCGACGGGTTTTGTTTCAGCAAGGCTGGGGCCGTGTACTGATGGTTTAACGAGAGCGAGCGGGCCTTATGGTGGTTTCCTCTGTGTGTGCCTTCTTTTTTTGTCTCTCTCACACACATCTTCCTTATCTCCCCCCCCGGCTTCCCCCGTGCGCCCCCCTCCCCCTCCCTCCCCTCCCCTCCCTCCCCCCCCTCTCTGTCTCTGTTTCCCCGTCTCTCTCTCTCTCTCTCACACACACATCACTCTCTCTCTCACACACACACACATCTCTCTCTCTCTCACACACACACACACACGTCTCTCTCTTTCTCACACAAACACACACACACACACGTCTCTCTCTCTCTCTCTCACACAAACACACACACACGTCTCTCTCTCTCTCTCTTACACACACACACACACATCTCTCTCTCTCTGTCTGTCTGTCTCTCTCTCTCTCTCTCTCTTGTCAACGGGTGGAAAAGACAACAGAAAGTTCATCTCTTTAGCTCATTTTTTTCTAGCTGGGTGGTCCGCTTGACCCTGTTTTGAGCCTCTACAGTGGATTGACCGGCTTGCTTCAGATTCTTCAGCTTTATTACCTCCCTTGTCTTTTCTTCTTTAACATTTTTATTTGATTTGTTTATATAATTAATATGGCTCCCTCCCCTGTGTATGTTGGGGGAGTGTGCATTATGTCTGTTCATCGGATCATTGGCTCACTGGAGCCTTCCGATTGCTGTTCATATTGCCTCAGTTGATGCAGTCAATCTTGGCAGATCCCATTAGTGCTAGGTCATGCTTAGAAAGTATGAACCCGGATGGGAATCTGGCCACGTTCGTGCCTTTGTAGCATGGACGCAGCATCACCGTGGCTCGACCCTCAGTTGGGTACCGGACTCTACTCACCCAGACTCCCTCCTGTCACCCTGCCTCCCTCCTCTCACCCAGACCCCTCCTCCCACCCAGACTCCCTCCTCTCCCTATGCGTGTTAATTGCTCACTTGGTCGCTCGTGTGTGACTGCCCTGGATAACAGTGAGCCATCTAGTTTGTCTTTACAGGTTTCCAAATCGGGTCGTAAAACTGACCAGGTTCATGCTAGCATGTTACAAACATAGCACTAATGTGCTGTGACCGTTAGTGTGGAATCAATTTTGCCTAATGACTGACTACATGCCTAAACCTACTGGTGCTATGGTGGTCCCGACGAAGGACGAATCTTGTTGTAAATCTGACCAAGTTCATGTGAGCACAGCTCAGGCATAGCACCTGTGTGATCTCGCCCTTAAACCACCAGTCCCCACGATGATTGGAAAATGGCACTCCTGTGCTGGGTGTGCGACGGTGCAGGGGAGTGGGCGTGGGGCTTTCGGTCTACAGCCCGCGGGTGCTGTATGCGTGACTTCGATGATTTTCGCACAAAGTCCTTTTTGCATGAAAAAATCTGAAAAAAAAACCCACATGTCTGTAGGTTTGGTGCTGGTCTTTCGAGGCAAAGAAAAAGAGAGATTGTAAGATGGTGAAAAAAACTGTCACCACAAGCTTGCGCATCTTTTCTGTTTTGTTTTCACATTTTCTCTCTGTGCTGCTACCAGTAGGCCCGATTCTCCCCCCCTGCCCCCCTCTTCCTGGCCACACCGGTTGGATGAATTTGGGCGCTCCTGTAGTAGCGCGTACATTTCCGAAAATCGTGGCTTGTTAACGGGCACGACGTTAGGAAGTACTGGTGGTTCAAGGATTTTTTAAAGGATTTTTAATCAATAGGGCGAAATCGGAAACCAGCGGACCTGTCCCTTTGGGACATCCATTAAAATTGGAACGACACTCAGAAGATTAGCATGGCCCCTGTGGAAAAATGACACACACAAATCGAGAAATGGTAAAAAAAAAACAAGACAAAAAAAAGGGGGAAACGGCTGAACTTTATCCTAAACCCTAAACCTCTAACCCTTTGTTCTATTGTCATGAGGCCGGGCGAATGCATTTTTGTTTTTTCCCCCCTCTGTTTTTTTGTGTAACTAAGCTATATTCTTCTTTCAAATCCGCCTTCCACTACCCCTACCTGCTGCTACCCCTAAGGCTATATGGGGGACCCCTAAGGCTATACGGGGGACCCCCAAGGCTATACGGGGGACCCCTAAGGCTATACGGGGGACCTCTAAGGCTATATGGGGGACCCCTGCAAGCATAGCTAATATTAGCTATTAGCTACCTCTTAGAGGGAAGGGGATATTGCATGTTGCCCCTTGCCCTAGTGGTCAGGGGGCAGAGTTGGGGCTGCCGGTGGTGGCCCGGATATCACGAAGAGCAGGTTGCCGTTAGCTGCACCTCCCTTTTGTTCTTCGTCCCCACGCACCGAGTAACCGCTGTGTCCAAGCCCAACACTCTCTCACACACCGCACACAACCCATTCACAAATTCACTTACACCCTTGTTGGCTAAAGATCCTACTTATTATACCAACCCGGGGGAGCAACATGACTCTCTCAGCTGGTTGGCACAAAGCCTGCACAGGCGGTCCCACGACCCGCCTGAATGCCCACTTGCATGCCTATAAGGCTATAACCAATTGAGCTAGCTAGGCCACTCGCCCTCAGCTGTGAATGTTTCTGCTTTTATCGATTTTGTTTCTTTTTAGTTTCACTCCTTCGTTTTCCTCGCGAGAATGGCTGGCTCTCTTGCGAAGAGTGTGCAGCAGCTCTATTCCGAGAGGCACCAGGTAAGGGAGGCATGCCATGCTGTACTTGACGCAGCGGGTGGTTTGTCTTCCCTCCACCTGTGTGACTGTCGGAGTCAAAAAATGCTATCTTAACTTGTCGGCCGTGTTATATCATTTTGCCTGTCGCTTATTTATTTGATCGCAGGGCCTCGCGGCTCTATTCGGATTCATGTGAATGGCTGTAGCAGCATGCACTTACTCTTGCTTGTGTGGACTACCACTTTGTATCCTTAATCAGCTTTCAGAGAAAAGGAAAGGCAGGAAGGATCGTTCGTTCTAATGTAGAAACCAAGACGAAAATGTTTGTAAAAGAAAAAAGGGAACTGAAAGGTATTGTTATGTCAGTCCTGAAATTTTGAGCAATATCAAGGAGGGATACTCTGCAACTAGGCTATTTAATTCCTGATCTGTTCCTCGTTTACATGCAGGGCATTTCTGGTTGGTACTAACTTTGTACTTGGCCTGTACCTGGTTTGCACCTGCTTTGTACATGTATCCTGTTTGAGCCTGTTTCTGAACCTGGTTTCCTCGTGCTTTGTACCTGGTTTTCGTATATACCCACTTTGTACCTGGTTTTTACCAGCCTTGTACCTTGTTTAGGTGTGCAATGTGTACCTGGTGTCTATCTCACCTGGTCTACATTGTGTGTGGGACTGACTTTTGTACCTTACTCTTAAACATGTGCCTGGTTTGTGTGCGGTCTTTACCTAGTTTATACCTGCTTTATACCTGGTTTCTACCTAGTTTCTACCTGCTTTATACCTGGTTTGTACCTGGTTTGTACCTGGTTTGTACCCGTTTTGTACCTGGTTTGTACCTGGTAAGTTTACCAGGTTTGTACCTTGTTTGTCCGTTAGGTTTATACCTGGTTTGTACCTGGTTTGTACCTGGCTTGTACCTGGTTTGTACCTGGTAAATTTACCAGGTTTGTCTGTACCTTGTTTGTACCTCGTGCTTTGTACCTGGTTTTCCTATATACCCACTTTGTACCTGTTTTTTATCAGCTTTGTACCTTGTTTAGGTGTGCAATGTGTACCTGGTGTATATCTCACCTGGTCTACATTGTGTGGGGCGGACTTTTGTACCTTGCTTGAGTTAGTAGTTTGCTTCAGTTGGCAGAATCGCGTTTCTGATATGGATTCATTTTCTTTTCTTTATTGGGTTTCCTATGTTGACTGATTTTCTAATCTCGTATTCGATTTTGTTTGAGAATGTTCCAATTAGCAAAAAGAAAGAAATTTCCAACTGGGCAGTCATGAGGACACTGTTGATTTGGCATATGAGGGTTTGGTCCAGTCTTTGGCATGCATGTTGACCATGTGCCGATCCATTCGTGGGGAGCAGCACGTGCTGGGAACTGGGTGCAGCGTCCCTTGTGGTAATAGACAGAACTTCGAAGTCGTGGGGCCCGGGGCCATTACCCGGCTTCGGCTAGCAATAAGGGACATCCAGGAAGATTCGAGAAACAACAACGAACCAAAAGCCGAAACCACCCATCACCTCCGCGATGAAGAAGACGGGGAGGGGAACCGCCGACCTCTTCCATTGTGGAGGTCGAAAGAAGACTCAACGTTTGCGGCAGAGGGATGCTGGCTGATTGGGCATTTGAAACGCAATTGCCGTATGCTGACAAATCTCATTCATTTTTTTATTTTTTATTCTTTTATTTTCAGACCTTTTCTTGATTTGTGCATGTCATTGTTGCTCAGGGGCCATGCTAATCTACTCTGTATCGTACCTTTTTTTTTTTTTTTTTTAAGGGTGTCGTACTATCGTTCCTATCTTTTTTTTTCTTTTCAAGTTCCTATCTTTTTAACGGATGTGTCATTCGGTTGTGTTTTTTTGTGCGACTTTGGTGACGACTGCTGTGGTTGCAGGATCTCAAGTGTTTTGTGTTTTCGCTCATTGGACTGCACTTCAAAATCAAGCCTATCTAGTTGTTGTGCACTTGAGATTTCAATTTTGCCTTTCTTTTTTTGTTTCCAGACCTTTCTCTCTTTTGCAGGCCTCTCCTTTCTGTCTTCCCTCGCGCGGAACGTTTTTTTTATGTTGAATTAAGCTTTCTTCTTCACCGTCTTTGTGATGACCACCCGAGACCTTGTAGGACTCCAGATTTTGCTTGTATTGATTGTTGTATTTCTGTAATAAAGTTTGAGAATTTGTTCTTCCTACCGCCAAGAGAATGGCTATCTGGTATCGGTCTCGTTTGTTGTTCGCCTTTTCTTTTCTCTTTCCTTTTGAGCCGTCTTTTTCTTTTCTTTTCCCCTCTTAGTCTTACTTTTCTTTTCTTCGATTCTTCCTCCTGCTGTACCTCCTGCTCTGATACAATTCGAGAATTCTACAGCTCACTTCCAATTTGCGGAAACAGGTATAATGGCTTCTTCCGTTGTCTTCTTCTTCTTCTTCTTTCTGTTTCACTTCTTCCTCTTCTTCTTCTTCTTCTATGGCTTTTTGTCTGTCTTCTTTTTCTTCCGTTCCTTGTCTTATGTGCGGTGGATGCAGGAGTGTGGTTCGCCCCTTAATAAGCCTGGAGCGCAGCCAAGCGATACGCGTCGGGGAATGTGCGCGTTTGTGAGCTTCGTCTATGTCCATGCTTGTTCTATGATGTGCATTATTCTGCTCGTGGACTAGTAGCATGTTGCCTTGCTACATTATTCCATTTCTTCTCCTTCTCCTTCTTCTTTCATCTTCCGTCTCTCTTCGTTCTTCGTTCTTTGTTCTTCGTTCTTCTTGCTGCTTCTTGTTCTTCTTCTTCGTTGTCTTTGTGTCTTTCTCTTTGTCTTTGTCTTTGTCTTCGTCTACGTCTTCATCTTCGTCTTCGGCCTCTTCCTCTGCATAGCCATGGAAAATGATGACCCAGTGAAACAACGGAATTCCTATGTTTGTTCTTCTATTCCACCTGAGAGCCCAAAGCTTTTCATGCATGACGGCAGAGTCGAGTCCCAGAAAATGGATAACATGAAAATTATGACAGATGCCAGTGAAAACAAAGATAAACAGCGGCAAGAGGAGGGTAGTGGGGCAATTGTGAACATAAAAAAAAAAACAGTGAGGAATCACAAAGTGGTGACATCGCTAGCATCTACTCGGGTTGGTTTAAAAAAAAAAAAAAAAAAAAAAAAAAAAAAGATGACAAAGCAGAAGCAGAAGAAGAAGCAAAGAAGAAGAAGAAGAAAGTGATGAAGAAGAAGAAGTAGAAGAAAAGCAGCAGCAGCAGCAGAAGCTGCTAGCAAGAAGCAAGAAACAGCAGCAGGGGGGTAAGTAGGCTTTTCTTAGCTGTTTTTTTTTTTTTGGTGCTTAGAGAGAAGTTGAATGGGAGAAAAACTTGTTGGGACATGCTTGTGTGGGACACTAGATCTGTGACTTGAGTGGGGGTTCTTTCGGTTGAATCCTCGGATTTTTGGTTTGCTTGGCGTGCAGGCAGGTAAAAAGGGTGAGTGCGGAAAGTGAACTTAAATCTTGTCGAATGTGGTGATGAGGAAGAGAATGTTTTCCTACCCTTGTTTATTGATGTTATCCACGTACTGGTCAAGCGAACGAGAACTGATTTCTTTGAGGGAAAAGTGAAGAGGGCCGGAAAAAGAACCTCGGTCATGAAAAAAGGAAAAGGAATGAATGAACCTAGTCTAACCCCAAGGCTTCCCTTTTCTGTCCCGAATGCCCTCTCGATCTAACCCCGTTCAAACAAGTTATCGTTTGTCCGCGTTTGCCCTTTGTCATTCTTCCGCGGGGCCTACTTTCCTATTCATTCAAATTTGTCATTGGCATCAGAATTCCATTTGGCTCTGATCCACCTTAATCGAGGCGGCTCCTACTTGCAGCTATAGCCTTAGGTATCCTAAGTCAGGCATCCGTCCACAAAAGATTTGAAGAAGGTCAAATGTCTTCACCGGCCTTTCCGAGCCCAAATCGTTAGGAAGTAGTTCGTTCTACCCATTCTCTCCTCGCCCGGGCACGAGGCGTGGATCTCAGAAGTAGGTGTCGGCTCCTCCACAACAACATTGCACCACCCCCATAAATGGGTCTATGCGGCGTACCGCATCTCTCCCCAGCCAGCCTCAATGGTCGTGGTTCCAAGAAGAGAGCCATTCCTAGCAATCGAGGTCAGCGAACCTGTCGACAGCCTCACCTGTTTTCTCCCCTCTTGCTTGGGCTGTCATACAGTGTGAGGGCGCACACAGGTGTGAGAGGATCCAAGCCAACCACTGACCTAGAGTAGTAGTATCAATGCGCCTCAGCTCGTACAAGAAAGTCAAAAAAAAAAAGTGCACCTTGCCGAAGAAACGACTGCAATCAGTAGTCCCAATCCGCTCTCAACTTCCAAGTCCCATACCTGGCAATCCCAAAAACAAACAGAACTTTCCCTCTACTAAGTACCACATGACGAATAATAATTTTGGCAGCATAATGCCGCGAAAACTGCCGCCGTCAATGCCGAAAGAAATCGGCAGCATATCCCCACAAGAGGGATAACAGCCTGCCGTAGTCCAGTCCACCAGTACTTCCACCAACGTGGCCCTGAAGTTTGCTGCTGCTGCTCGAAACCCGCTGTCAAATTAATAAAATTTGGGCGCTGGACAAAGTCCAGGCCCAGAGTACACTCCCGTCATGCCGCCTTGGTCCCGCAGAGTCCCTAGGACCACTCCACCGGACCATCACCAGCCAGAGGGAAATGGAGCAGAGCGCTCCTGACCCCGGCTACGGCTGCCCTCTTCCTCCTCTAAAGCTCCACTGCAGACCTCCAGCCTCCTCGCACGTTGCCTCCGGCAGCCTCAAAGTACCCCTCTGTTGAACGGTCCACTCCGGGTCGATTACAGCGCCGACTCCTAAAGCAACGAATCCCCACCCCATATTTCCTCCTAGAGTGAGGAAGACCTCTGGCTTGGAGCCAGGTTGAGCGCCCTAACCTCCTATGCGGGAAAATGACTTAGACAAAATAGAAAGTCAGAGGAAGAGAGAGTGGAGACTCGTTTGGACGGGGTTAGATCAAGAGGGCCTTTCGGTATAGAAAAGGGGAACCTGGAGGGCACTTGGGTTGAGATGTGCATGTGGGAACATTCCCTTTGTTTTATTCCTCAAGGAAGATGTTGGAAGGTACAAGTCTGAGCGTGTCCTCGGTGTGTGTATGCTATCACAAATTACTTTGACAGGCTTGATTATACCCCTTAGCAAGAATGGCTGAGAGCTGCTTCAAATCCAGGGAAAGCAAGCCAGCTATTTCCCTCCATCTCTGTGTCTCCCCTTATCCCTCCTCTTGCCTCAAGGAACTTTTGTGATTCCTTGCTTTGTGGACATGTTTTCTGGACTTTCTTCCGGCTTCTCCCCCTGCCTTATCTGGGCCCCTTTTTTTGCCTACCTACCTGTCAACGCTGGGTGCTACAAGGCCGCAACCCCCATTTGTAGTCTAAGGGAGACCCTGGGCCTCCCCAAAGGAGTACTGGGGGAGTTGAACCCTTTTCCCCCCGAAAACGTCAATGGCGGGGTTCTGCTTCTGGGGTCATAAGAGCGGCCCCCATTAGCGAGACTGCCTGTTCTGATGGCTCCTGTCTTATATTTACCTTCCCTATGCCCGCTCCGCTTCTGGGGGTGGTAAGAACAACCCCCAGAAGCGCCTTCGTCATTATGGAGGTATTAAGGGAAAGATGGGCCCAAGACATAGTGCTGGATCATCATCACCTGGGCAACTTCAACTGGGCTAGATATGCTCTTTTTTTTTTTCTTTTTCTTTTTAAGAAAATGGCCCCCTGCAGTGCTAGTGATGCTGGTTGAAACAGGCACCACTAGCACCCGGGGAGCGGCTCCATCTATTTGGTGGGGAACATCACCTGCTGGAAAATAGGTCCAGCGTCCCATATACAAAACGATTCAGGATGACCTCAGGGAAAGTAACTGAGAAAACGCCTGCCAGCATTGATTACTCTGGTGTCCAGAGGATTAACTGTGCAGGTTATTGAGAAATAGAGAGAAACCTCTTTGCCCTGTATCAGGCGCCAGATACCTGCTGTTAAGAAGTAGTTCCTCCCTCCCTCCGCCGCCCCTACCCACCCTGTCTCAAGTGTCGTCACCCTCCCTCCCCACTTTCCATCCTCGTTCCTCTCTAATCAGAGACCATTCCCGACCCGCCAGCATTAATCACCCGTGTCGAGAAGAAAAGAGCTCTGCTTGGAAAGGAAATTTCTGGCGGGGAGGAGGGGGAACCGGTAAGCGTTCGGTAGCGCCGCGTTAGCGCTAAGGCAGCGCTAATTCGAGCACTGGCTAATTCGTTCTCGGATTAGCGGAGTCTTAGTGCTCCACGGCCGGTCGCCGCTTGGCGGGAAAGTACGCTAGTCGAAGTCCTGTGGCCACGCGGTATGGAAAGGCTGGCGTCTCGACGGGAAGAAGACATAGCTGAGCTATGTCTTCGGTTGCTCATATCCGAACCTCTGCTTGAGTGGAGAGGGAGTGCCTTTGCACTCAAGGATAGGGGCCTCAGGCGACTTCCTCCTCTGTCCCACCTCTCACTTCACTAATTTTCTATCCTTGGAAACTACCGAAATGTTTTCTCTTCAAACACTAATATTGGTTATTGCACAATCATGTTGATTACTGGTGCCCGCAAAAGCAGGCTTGAGTCTCAGGCACAGACAACCGTTGGGAACGGCGGACCGAGAGCTGCAAGGGCAACTACTGGAAGAATGATCTGGACCGCATCGCGGCGGGCAGTGAGAGAGCCTGCAGCAATGGTGGGAGCGTGCCGGAAGATTTCAGAACAAGAGCTCTAATCTCGGCATGGGATCTCGTGGAAGATCTGGAGCTTTGAGGCTCTGCTTTTGGTGCTCGGAGACAGATGCATTCATTGGCTTTCCTTTTCTTATGCTTAGTATCTGGCCGTAGCCTTTGCTAATGGGTAGTTAGATCCCCTGGCATCATGCATCTACTGGACATAGTTTGTTAGGTTTACGGGCTGTGTGGTTTCTTACTGTGTGGTTTCTTACGCTGATAGAAGCTCTGTTTACTCTGTCGTATTTTAGGGTAATGATTGAGGTTGCTGTCGCTTGAATTTCCTGGGCAGTAAAATTCTCCCCTGACGTTAATACATATTTTGCCTATAGGGTTTCACACTTAGAAGCACGTACTGGAATGGACACAGTAATGGGTCATCTCAATGCGCTTATGCAGCAAGC